TGGCATTAAAACACATTGTGATGAGGTGGGTCAATGGTCAGGGTTTCCCAGAGGAAACCGGCCAGTGGAGGCGGTAAAGGCTGAGCTGTCACACACACACACACACACACACATTGTCTACAGCTAACATCTGTAGAGTCTGTGCAATGTTTTTTTAAATAACTCCCTGTGCCAGATGACCTGCATCATATGCTTGTCCCAATTCATAACCTGTAATTTCATCACGCATTTAGGGAGCGATAGCTTAACCCCTATTATGTTATTATGCTTTTTTCTACACAGATATACACACACTCACACACACAAACACACACACACATGATCAACCCACTTTATCCCACAACTCAATCCCTGATCCCCTGTTCCCCTGTGTGTGGTGACAGTTCTGAGCTGGAGACATGGTTTTCAGGTTGTCCGTCCATCCCATTCTCTTAGACACAATATCTCAGTAATGTCATGAAGGAACTTTTTCAAATTTGGCACAAATATTCACTTGGACTCAAGGATGAACTGATGGTTAAAGGTGAAAGGTAAAGGTCAGTGTGACTGCACAAAACTCTTTTTAGCCATTACTCAAGACTTCACAGCAATGATGACAAAATTTCACACAAATGGCTCATATTTTCTACGACTCTGTATAAACAGGCTGTAACCTGGAACTAGTCTGAGTGGAGGAGGAAGAGAACCACAAGGAGGTGAATTTAGTTTATCTGTTGTCTCTTGTGGACCACAGACCCACCAGTTTGAATTCATATCGTATTGCTCAGTTTGTTCTGTCTCCTTTGTCTTTGTCGTTAGTCTTTGTCTCACTGCATATTTTGTTGTGGCTGTTTTTGTGTCCCTGTACTTGTCTACACTTGTTTTGTTGCGCTCTATTGCACAGATAGAATTAAAAATAGAAACATAGCAGAAAAAAAATTACAATGTAGACATGACTGATTTCCTGATTCCAGCCCAGTGAGGTGTCCTGACTGATACCTGAGGTTATTCATCAGTTAACTGTCAAACAACAAAATAACCCTAACTAAATGCAGTTCAGACTGTGATTTTATGGGGACATGTCCTGAGTGTGTTGTGTTTGAGTTCTAAATCAGAGTTCATTGCCGTTGCACACGCCACATGGTGGTGTAAACCTTGAGGGACTTTTGCATTCTCCATGGGGAGAAGAGGCTCATGAGGCCTGACCAACCTCCTGGTTCTCCACCAACTCAATCCTTCTCCGTGGAAACCTAAACCAGACACTTATTTTCACTCCCTCTCCCTGGTGACAGCCTGACTGCACACCGCTAACCTCTGGAGAGAGCTAGGGAGCGCTAAGAGAGGGGAGAAGGTGAAGACGCATCTGGTTGCATCAGTCGTCTCCTGGGTGTCTTTCTTTCACTCAAAGCAGACGAGGGGAGTCAGACAGAAATGAAGTCAGAGCCCCTTGTGTTCGTCCTCGGAGAGTTGCTTCCCAGCTGTGGGACAAAAATACAGTCACAGTCTCAGTAATGATAAAGTTGACTTGGCTGCTATAAAGTCACACCAGTAATCCCACAGTTCATAGTTGTGATTGCGGGACCCAGAGCTGATCCAAACAGAGTGTAATTAGACATGATCCAAATAGAAGGAGAACACTGCCTCTGGCAGCAGTGTGATGGACCACCAATTACACAGCATCCGCCTCAAAAGGAGTAGCAAACATATTTTTTCCGAGCATTTCACAGTTCACACTCTCACTCTGATTCAGATCTACCACATGGTCAGAGCTGAGGAAGCTTGAATCAATTTGGGATTCGATTTACAGACTGGGACCCGTAGCAATAAAACAGAATCAAGCTGAAAGTTAGACTGAAAGAAATATTTTAACATCTTGAAAAATTCACTCATTCTCTTTCTTTCTGGGCTAGCTTAGCTTTGCCTTGAGACCTGAAGCAGGGGAGACAGCTAGCCTGGCTCTGTCCAAGGTTACAAAATTTTCCTAACACCTTTAAAGATCTGTCACAGCAGAACTCTTCAGGCGGGCCAGTGGCTCTTCAGGTCTTCTATTACACAACTTTATGACGATATTATTGTAACCAAGTAATTAAAGAAACACCTTAAGAATAAAGAAACGCACACAGAGGCAATGAAGAGTGGAGTATAATTCTTGGATTTACTGTACTTCGAACAAAATACAGCAAACTGAGGCTGATTCATGAACACAGACACTAAAACAGAATCCGACAAGCATCCTCTTATGTTTCCTGGGGTGTCTCCACCTATTGTGGAGTATATGATCCAAGGTACCTCCGTGTTTTACACTCTTTTGGAAATGTTCTACCATTATTTCCAGTTTTTATTATCGTGTTCCAGTTGTTTTTTTATGGGCTGGCCATATATTCAAAAAGACCTATACTTTTGCTCAGATCCAATTGGCCCACCCTACTTTTTGTACATGTGATGATGTCAGCCCATGTTTCTTTTTTTTTTAACTAGAAATAGCTTTTTAGGCTTTTATTTGTCTTCTGAGTACTTGTCATGGATTTTGGGGCCTTATCTCCCACCAGTCATGAGTCTTCTTTCAGTCTGTGTATCTTCTTTCTATTTAGTGCACACATCTTAGACATTAGATACACATATTTTATTGATTAATAAAAGTATACTACAGCTCACTAATTAACATGTTATGTGAGTGGTATTTATCTTTTCCTTGGATATAATTTAGGCCCAGCCCAGCTTGGGTTCCTGGTCGGGTTTCAGTTAAAAGGAACCAAATGGATGTGTGAAGTGCCTGAATTTGTACTGTTACCTAGACAATGCTGTCGTTAAAGCCTGACCAAGACTAGATTCTTCAGGCTGATGATGATATGAGGATATGTGAGCTCATATCATTTTACTGAAACAAACATGTTTTAAACGATTCTCTCTGATGGACGAACTATGTAAATCTTTTGAATTTCTGTTTCGTTTTCCTGCTACTTATCGGCCGATGTTATATACTGATATCAGCTGATGTGTATACTGATATCAGCTGAGGTGTATACTTATATCAGCAATTAATATGTTGGTCTTAACTTCTTTTAATGCCTCATTCTGTGTAATGTAAACACGTTTTTAATCATTTTTTCATTTAACAAAAGCATTCAGTGTCAATTTTTGATACTTTGAATAAGTTTATTACATTTCCGTCAGTGCGCTACAACTGTTGAGGTTCATGGAGGCACTGTAATGAGGGACAGATGTAACCCGCCTTCATGTGAGTAGAAATCTAGCAGATAAATCTACTTAAGAGGTCACATTTTACAGTATATAGCACTCAGTGTTGTTACTCATTTGCTTCTATCAGGCTTATCAAGGAAGCAAAATGACATCACTTTGGAAATGTCTCTCAAAGCTTGTCATTGGTGAATTTCTCAGTGGTTGAGTAATTGATGATGTGGTCGTGTGGAATGGGAAAGTGTTCAAAATCCAATGGGTGGGGGGTGTTTGTGTTTAGTTCTATGAAATGCCTGCAGATATACTGTCATATGAATGTACTGTCATTCTGTGCTAAATGACAATAAAAGTCAAATAAAGTACAGCAGACAATGGCTGACTCCATCCTTCCTGCCCTCCCAAAAGCACTTCAATCTTTTCATTTGCATTTTATATCAAAGTCTCTTGATACAAACTGTAGTGTATGTCCTTCACTTAGTTCAATAGTTAGCTAGCTGCCAAGATGGCTGTCACAGCATCATTAGCTACAGGTCACAGCTCTGCTTCCTGCCTGGCTTTGAGTGACAGGTCTTCTGTTTTTGCTCTGGGCCTCCCGCCTCCACCCACCATTAGCCATCCGACTCCTTTCACTGCACTGTTACATGTCAGCTGAACATTACTTTGCCAGCCTATAAGCTTCTGTCAGCTCAAATGTGTTTGCTTTGGACGGGGTCCATTGTAATTACAGTTGGATTGAATGTATCAGTGTTTAATTTCCAATACAAAGATTCAGTATTCAGTATTCAGGTAGTAAACTCATGCAGCAGGTCCTGTTATCCTGTCTCGACCAGTTTGTGAGTTGGTTGTTGACAGTGTGAGTAAATAATACAGAGGAAGGTTTTTCAGCATTTTTGGAAATATAGCCAGGTTGTCACTTACAGGAAGAAAAAAGTAGGGTTGGGCAACATGTTTACAATTCCAGCTGGCCACTGTCAGCCCAACATTCGGCAATTGCTGAAAATGAAACTTTACTGAAACATTACAGCCTATAGGCTACTTTTCTTCAATTAAATAAATCACCTTGAGATCTTTGATAAGCAATAATGTGCCGTCATATGTGCGTTTCCACTTGCAGCTTCTGAGTGAACAGAGGTGGCAATGACATGCTATTAGATAATTAGGGTGGTCTAGTTCCAAAATATGATTTATGTGTTGACCTTTCTTTTCAGCTGATCAGTTGATCGGACAGCACCTATTACAGACACCTCATTTTGTCACTGCCCTGTTTTGTGAAAGATGGAAATCAGTTCAACCAGAATGTGCATAATATGGCTCAACTCCAACTGCCAGTTTCTATTAGCACACACTTTGAATTGTCCTTTACAGGTTCATTACTTATTGAAATGAATTCTTAAGGAAGCAGACCATTGAATATGCAAAATAAGAATGGCCCATAAAATGGCCCAAAAAGACCAATCGGTGATGGATTCAACCATCATTGATAGCTGATATATTTGCCACATATTTTCACCAATCACCCAACCCCAGAGGAAGCAAAGGCATAATTGCATGTAATTTCATGGCCGCCTGAATCATCATGGATCGTGCTTGTCACAGTAATTAACTCACTTCTTACAGTATTAGCTTTTTGTGCAGTAGCTAATGGGTACAGACCTTTTTAGTTTTGAGTAACATGGACTGTATGTTTCAAGAGGAAAATGTCCCTACAGTAATCACACTTTCTTCAGGTATTTTCTACTTGATGACCAGCTTTCAACAAAGATGCAGATCTCTGTAAAATTGGTCATGTCTCTGATGGGGTGGTATCTGTTTTTATTTTGTAGGTATCAGATCCACACAGGCCTTCAGCACTCCATCATCCGAGCTACCCAGCCCAACTGCCTACCCCTGGAAAATGTCACCCTGCCCCAGAAGCTCAAGCAAGCAGGATACTCCACCCACATGGTGGGCAAGTGGCACCTGGGCTTCTACAAGCGTGGTTGTCTGCCCACCCAGCGTGGCTTTGACACTTTCTTTGGCTCTCTGCTAGGAAGCGGGGACTACTACAGTCACTATAAATGTGAAGGACCCGGTATGTGTGGTTATGATCTATATGAAGGGGAGGAGGCAGCTTGGGAACAGGACCGCGGCTTGTACTCCACTGTGATGTTTACTAGAAAGGCAGTCAACATCTTAGCAAATCACAACCCTCACAGACCTTTGTTTCTCTACTTAGCCTATCAGGCAGTTCATTCCCCGCTGCAGGTTCCTGCCCGCTACCTCGAGCGCTACAAGGGCATTCCAAACTTGCATAGACGTAAATATGCTGCCATGGTGTCCTGCCTGGACGAAGCCATCCACAACCTCACGTTAGCGCTAAAACGCTACGGTTATTATGACAACACAGTTATAGTGTACTCCTCTGATAATGGGGGCCAGCCGTTAGCTGGTGGAAGCAACTGGCCCCTTAGAGGGAGTAAGGCCACCTATTGGGAGGGAGGCATCAGGGCAGTGGGCTTCGTTCACAGTCCCTTGTTGGTGAACAAAGGGACAAAATGTCGATCTTTGGTACACATCACTGACTGGTTCCCCACACTGGTGACACTGGGTGAAGGGACTTTAGACGAAGATCTAAATCTGGATGGGTACGATGTCTGGGAGGCTATCAGTGAAGGCCGTCCGTCACCTCGACAGGACATTCTTCATAACATTGACCCAATCTACATCAAAGCCAAGAATGGTTCATGGAAGGCTGGGTATGGTTTATGGAACACAGCCATCCAAGCTGCACTCCGGGTGGGCCACTGGAAGCTCCTGACAGGTGTTCCTGGCTACAGCGACTGGGTGCCCCCACAGACCTTCTCCAACCAGCGGCTAACCAATCGCTGGCATAATGAGCGCATCCGTTGGGACCGGGGCAAATCCATCTGGCTTTTCAACATCACAGCCGACCCTTATGAGAGAGTGGACTTGTCTCAGCGCTACCCACACATAGTGAAGAAGATGCTAATGCGGCTGGCGCAGTACAACAAGACTGCAGTGCCGGTACGCTACCCGTCCAAAGACATGCGTTCTAACCCTCAGTACAACGGGGGCGTGTGGGGACCCTGGTACAAAGATGAGCGGGAGATGCAGGAGGAGGATGAGAGATACAATAATTTGTTCAATAACCATCTTGGAAAAAGAAGGTGGAAAAAGAAATCAAAGAACAGAAAGCTGAAAAGGAAGGTAGAATAGTTTACCCCATTTGTGAAAGACTTCAGTTGCCTTTTCTCAGGGATTGACACTTCCTGCTTCAGGATCGTCCTCTTCAGACTCTCTGACTCCAGTTAGTTTTAGTTTGATTTCAGTTTATACTTTATGAAAAACACAAATGGACCTTTTGAAATGCCTCCAGCGAATAAGGAAGAGATCCATTCGTTGAAACACTACTGTTATGCCCGGACACAGTAAAGACCTTCTGTTGACGTTAGGGGCATTTATAGAATGTTTATTTTTCTAGATTGTGTTGCATGCTTGAACTGTTGTCACCTTTGGATTGTTCTGTAGATTCATGTTTCACATAGAGTAGTAAATCATTTTTCATAGACGGTTACCATAAATTTTGGTGACAGAGAATTAATGTAAGACATAGTTACGTTATGTTGTTGATTGCATCAATGCAGTTGTCGTGGTAACAGGTTCGATTTACGTGATGTGTGAGTTGTTGTACGTTGGTTTGATAAGCACAGTCTGTCTGAACTAAAGAATGATAGATTTTCTTCCCTCTTTTAGATGATGTCTGGTCTGGCACCAGGCCAACCTGAATGTAAGACAAACTAACAAAATAAAAGCCCCAATTAACAAAATAAAAGCCCAAGAAACAAAGCTCTTTGTCTCCTGCAATCTGTCAAGCTCTGTCCGGTTGGAATTTTACTACAGCCAGAGTTCCTTTATTCTGATGATAGTAAGTACCCATATAACTGGAAAAGTTTGAACATCTCTCAGTTGTAGAGGCTGAGCTGTAGCCACTAAGTACATTTATTCATGGAAAATACAATGAAGTGGGATCTGACTGATGATAAAGACCTAATTGCTTTTCTGGTAGTCCTAAAAAAATACCGGCCTCATCAGTCATGGTCCTGAACAAGAGATATGAAACAAGAGTGAACAGAATGTATAATCTTTAAAACTTTATTTTTCATGTGTCTGTTGCTTGGCATCCATGTAAACACTCCCCAAACTCACTGACTCGAACTGTTCTCGAGTTTTGCTAGTAGATCATTTGTTGAACTTTACAGGCCAATTAGCTGTTTTAATGACACTAAATGACTTCTAAATGTACTCCAAACTATAAGATTTATAGATGCTCAAAATGGAACATGTTCTGTTTTGTTTTTTATTTGACTCCCTAGCTTGTCTGTTTGTCTTTTTAATTGGCTAACTAAGCAGCTCTCAAGAGTCATGTAAGTCAATGGCTCTAGTACAATGTGAAAGCTCAAAATTTGTTACAGACACATTAAACAACAGGAGCTCCAGAGAGAGAGAGGGGCTTTCCCATGGAAAGAGTGCCAGGCTACACTGCACATCCCTCCCATCCACACTAACGTGGATCCCCCTGCCTCAGCACTGCACTTAGAGCCAAGTTATGACCTCAGACCTTTCAAGCACTGACTCAACTTTCACAGCAGCGTTTGTGTTAACAGCCTATGCTGATATGAAGAGGGTCTCTCCATCTTTCCCCCTGTAAATCCAAAGCAGGTGAGGTCTAGTTGGGTTAATGGCACTGGTTTTCCTCAGCTCCCTCACATTGATTTGTGTCTTCAAACCAGATTGTGCCCATGGGAACCAGAATTTACCTGGGTACGCTCAGCTTTACCGTTGACCATAAAAAACAAGCCATGCCCTCAGTATATTATGAGCTACAGCTGAGAATTATACATCAGATTCTTATTTCATTGCATCGTGCTGAATTTCCTCTCCCATGGGCCACAGGAACAGTTAAACCCTGGATTCTCTGGGAATTCACATTTGCTTTCAGTTATGGGCATTAGCATCCGTCTTATGGGAAAAACTAAAGGCATTTTTTTCCCTGTAACTGAGCTGTAAGGCAATACATCAAGCTCTCTTGTCCTGCCGCCTCACATTAACAATGCCCATTAGTGCTCATAGGGAATGATAGGAAAAAATAAACCTGATGGATCAAAGAAAGCTTTGACCAAAGTGAAGTGCAGGAATATTACTTTGCGGGATTGTGTTGCTTTTCTTTCAGCCGTGGCACCGTGTGAAACATAGTTTAGGTTCTTGCATGATCAAGGTGCAAATTAGTCAACTCATGTGTAGCCAAGTGGAAAGAGCCGACCACCTCACTGCCAAGAGCTACACTCGAAACATGACTCAGCCAGACTTGAGCTCTGAAGTATCTCTCCTAAAGTCAAGTGATGGAAAAGGAGAGAAATATCAAGCAGCTGTTGTCCAAAAGAATCAGAATTAATACAGAGCCTATGAAATATCTTGTGAACACCACCCAAAATGCCAGAACACATTTAACGCTTGCAATGCATTTACTCACAGTTCTACACTCTGCAGGGCTGTGCACTGCAGCAACTTGGCAAAAGTGGGACATTCCATTTGTAAGAGGTAGTTGAGACTTTTTTTTTCAAGTGATTGTACAAGCATATGAAACAGCTGCTGTCATGTTTGTTAGTGATGTCATAGGAAGTCCTGCCTAGGAAGAGGCCTAAAATGTGCCAGAATGACAAAGATGATGCTTCCTTTTCCTGCACCAATCATGAGCATTCACATGTACACAGTGCAAATAGTACCTCCTGCAAAATATACATATATGTACTATTGTAATTACAGGGCCGCCCGCTTCTGTGAGTTAGAGCAACTCTGACATTTATTGAAACCGATGAGAAAAGTTCAGGTGTCTGAGAAAAGACAGCAGTAAATTTATAGACAGTCTCTCTCGGCTGCTCGTCACTCTCCAGACATGGAGATTTCCTGTAATGAGCAATTTCACCCATGCACAACTGGAACCTTCAGCAGAGGTCTAGCACTCTCACTTCATCCAGTTTATGACATATGGCCCCATTTTGTTCCTCTCCAGGACCACTCCCTTAATATCTTCATATGTCTTCTTCTTCCTCTCATTAATTGTGTTAGGTATTTGCCTGTATTCATCCTCTCCTCTCATTTCCCCTGCAGACTCTCAGACTGTTTCCTTTTCTCTTTATTCTTGTCATTCTTCATGTAATGCTTTATTCATGCTCTTTTCATCCTGTCTGTCTCCTCCCTCTCTCCTTGCTTTGCTCAGCAGAGGTCCTCAAAGGTTTTGCTCAAGTCCAGACCTGTGGGGTTTTGGTTGGTGCAGCAGCTGTGTTGCAAGGAAGACCTGGGTCTTTCACACAAACACAGTGTCGTCCATCTATCATTAGGTTTGAACCCCCCAGGCCTGTCGTCCTCTTGATACCTCCTCCACCTCTGAAGACTCTTCTGCCATCTGTCACTCATCCTCCTCATCTCCTCATCCTGTAAGCAAAATAATGCATTTTTCCACATTTAGTAAAGACAGCAGCATTAGCATTTTAACATTGCTGATCTTCTGTTGCCTGATGCTGGGCAGAAAGTGTACAGTAGGTTTATAAAGGCTTCTTCTGCTAAAAACAGCTGCCTGCTGCTGATGAGAGTGGTGAGGCTGAACAACAACAAAACACTCAGGGGTGGGAAGATGAAGACAATGAGCTGAAAGACGCTCAAAAGCTTCACAGAGCTGAGGGGAACTGCAGAGTGACGCGAGTACGTAAGTACCACAATTATCTGAAAATGTAACAGAGATTTGTGCAGCTCTGCATTCTAATGACATAACATAGCAACTTTAATTTTCACATTGACTCAAATAAAACTACCACTTCAGACCTACTGAACCTGCCCCTGATGTAATGTTTATCTCTCCCTCATTATTCAGCTGCACACAATCACATCCCAGTTTGATTAATATTTATACAATGAGCATGAGGCAGCTATGTGTGCGCCTCTCTGTGTGTTTTTCTAATTGCATTGTGTGTATTGAAAAAGTTACTAGAGTTTATGCATCAATCAATCTCGCTCTGATGACGTGACCCGCAGTTTAAACCAGGGTGAGGAGGAGGTGAAGGTCCAGCTGTGGTACGTCAACTCCAACTGCATGTGACACACAGGCCTCAGAGCACCACCAGAGGAAGTTCTGCAAAACACTGTTTGGAAGTCACAATGAGAAAAATATCAGACTGTTACATTTGCATTTACAGATAGTGATGATTTTTTTTTCTTTGTACCCAAAGATACATTTTTCAGAAAAGTACCCTGTAAGGTGCTGAAATGGTCATTAGGGTGAGAACTGTGGACCTTTGTTTCATTTTAAAGGTACACAATCATTGCTGACAGCAAGGGGTAATAATTATACTTTTAACAAGATGAAGGTTCAGGCAGATGATGCCAATCACTGATCACAACATCTTGATTTAAATAGAAAGTTGGGTTTGTTGTAATAAAACAGGCGACAATTTCAATTCAATTCTTGGTCTGGGAATAATTTTATCAGCTTCATTAACAACACAGCTGGCTGTGCATTTCAGCTAGTCTTTACATTGTTCTAATGGTTTTAATAGTGTTGTAGGGTCATGAGGCAGGCTTACAAAGCCAGTGGTAAAACGCTGAATCAAATTAATCTAATCGAGTTGTGAATTTGCATTTTGTAAATGTACTTTTACTGAACTTTGTTCCTGTTTTGTGTCTGAAACCAAAATGAAATTTCTCTTTGTTGCACTCAGTGATTAGAGGATGGCTCCTCAGGTTCTTATGCTGCAGCTTAATGTTGAAAAGCTGCTTTTTCTCATGCGCTGGAACAAATCAGTTCTATCAGAACAATATTTTGAAACACACTGAAAATGCATTAGTTTACATATAAAATGTTGATTTTGTTAAAAGATGATAACTAATTGTCAGTTTTTTTAAAATAAATTTTGGTCAGTAACTGTGAGTGACATGTCGCTCCAACTGCACTTCATAAGGACCCAATTCTGGGGTTGTCTCCATGGCTCACCTGGTGAGGCGTGTACCACATGGGTTCAGTCCAAACTGCAGCGGGCATGGCTTCAAGTCCAACCCGCGGTCCTTTGCGTCATGTCATTCCCTCTCTCTCTCCCTGACCGTCCTGTCTCTCTCTCACTGCACCTATCAAAATAAAGGCAAAAATGGCATAAAATGACTTGACAAAAAAGAAGGTACCAATTCTGTACCTTTCCACTGCGTATATTTTTGTACCAGGACATGAAGGTAC